ACACATTGCCCAGCAATCCCTCGTCGAGAGCGAATACCTTGGATAAACCGGTGGCATGAAATGGCCACGGTGCCAACCGCGCGTTCATCGATCGAATGCCCCTTGATCATCCCACCCACCCATGCGGTTCTTCCGATCTGGTCGAAGATATCACACAAACAAGGGGGCGTGTATGTCGTCGTCGCGGCAAGCAAAGCACGTGACCGTGATGGCGTGATTTCGCGGAGATCCAGACATCGCGTCATGTGATGATCGCGGCCGCCGTCCCATGATTCAAATCGAAAGGGTGGAACAGACCTTGAAGTACAAATCGTTGCAGGACAAGTCCTGTTGTCAATAAAAGAGCGGCGTTAACACGAGCGGACGCATCGCGTGGCCAGCCCAACTGGCCTCATGTCGACGACAGGAGATGGAGAAGCACCCGTACGACCTCAAATTGCGGCGAGGGGCGCCCAACGGAACCAGTCGGTGTCTCTCTGAAACGGCCGTCCCCGCCGTCGCCACGCGAAATTTTCATGGTATTTTCTGGAATTTCACCAGGTTCATCATCAAGTTGACGCCGCCGCGATTTTTCGCCGAGGTTTTTGTTGAATCGGGGCTGGTTTTGGCAGCGATGGAGAACATGCCACTGCCGTGAGTGTTCGCACACGACGGACCTTTCTGGTGCCAATCGTCTCCACCATGGACATCGAGTCTGCCGAATCCTTTCGCATGTCGACATCCAAAGGTTTGTCCATGAGCCACGACTAGTTCGTCGAGGGGACTAAATCGTAAGCCCTTGCATCAAATATATGGCTCGAACGAAAAAGCGGCATGACACAATGTGGTGGCCGGCCACCTTGGCACTTGCTCTATAAATATTCTCCACCGGCGTGATCGCCGACCCCGCAATCTGACTAAACATAGGATGTATGATGACTTGGGCGTCGGCACAAGCCCCCCCAGTCGTGGCAGACGTTGGTGCTCAAACCTTCGATATCGAGTCGAAACCCAGATATACCGGACGCCCCTTCCGCACCCCTTAGCTTGCAATGGCACACAAGGGGCCGCCGTCGGCATGCGAGACGTCAACGTGTGCGAGTCCCAGCAACAAAGTTTGCATCTGTTCAGACAGATTTGGAGTGGTGTTGACGGGATGATTATCGGATCTGCGATGGTAAATTTAATTTCCAATGCCCCGTGCACATAAAACGACTACCATGGCCCAGATCATACTCCGTTCAAGATAATGTAATAAATCATCCTCCGATTTTAAACCCGGCCATCCGTAAACAGCGCAATTGTTTACCGCAACCACGGCCGCTCCAATCACACATCAGACGACACCTTGTCGAATGGGTTCCATTATCCAATTCACCGCCGCCGCCACACATCTCGATGAACTCCGCGCCCGTGTTCCTTCAGAAGACGTACGACATGCTCGAAGTTTGCCCAGTCGGCGTCGCGGAGTGGGCGAAGGACGGAAAATCCTTTGTCATTAAGAACACAAAGCAGTTCGAGTCGACGATGCTGCCGCAGTTTTTCAAACACAACAACTTTGCCTCGTTTGCGCGCCAACTACGCTTCTATGGGTTTGAAAAGAGCAAGGTCCACGACGCCCGCTTCAACGACAGCTCCGAGTCCGGTCAAACGTGGTGGATGTTCCAACACCCCAAGTTTCTCCGCGACGACCCCGTCAGGATGACGTCCATTCGACGCAAAACGTGCACAGAAGCCGTCGCTGTGAAATGGGAAGCGGGTGAAGTCAGCGAGCTCAAGGTCCGCCTCTCGACTTTGCAAGACACGATGTCTGTACTGTCCGCTCGCATTTCGACCCTCACCGCAGCCGTCCACGAATTTGCCGCGGCTCAAGCGATCGACGAAGAGATCTGTGACGCGCCCGTTGCTAAGCGTGCCAAGATCTCGATGCCCACTCCGGTCAAAGTCTCGGCACCCTTGCAATCGTCGTCTCCCAAGACGGTCGAAGACATTACGGCCGTGGACCAACAAGCATGGACCTTCAGCCTCGAAGACGAACATTTCCCCGACATGGACGACCACTTGTTCGCTTCCCTTTTGGACTTTGACCTGCCGCTCGTGTGCTAATCCCGCCGCTCCCCCTCTCCATCCCCTCCTTCCGTCAATTGTGCGTGCCGTCGACGTCGACGTGAGTACCTTCTCCCAAGACTGCCCGTCCCGTCCTCGCCTAGCCATCACGCACCATCATTACCCATGTCCTTGCGCGATCGTCACATCATCGTGTGCGCCTGGTGAACAAGCAATCGCATAAGCCTTAACGTGGGACACGTTTTATTCGAATTAACCTTTGGGATCTTGTTTTGAGCAATGTGATTGGCCAAGGAATTTTGTCAGATCCGTTAAAGCTGTCGCGCTCTGTTTTTACTGCCTGATGTCTCTCACGGGACATGATTTGATTGGCGAACAATAACGTGTTGGTCATTAATACATTTTGTCCTCACCGTGCGCGATTAGTACATTCAAGAGGAATGAGAAGTACATTCGTTATATAAGAACTGACCGCAAATTTAGATTCCTAGCTTGGCATCAGTCGACAGGCTTCACTGCCTCACTCGGTACCTTGGGCGTGACGCATGATGATTGAAGGGTTCGTGGAAAGTTTTAGCTGGCCTGGATGTCGTGGGTGTAGTAGCACCTGCGGCCAAGCCAGGGCATGATAGTGTGATCGTGTTTACGAGGCATTACCTTGTGGATGCACTGGATTACGTGAGGAGGATGGACCTTGCGTTGCCGCTTTATTGCGTGATGAGTCCCATTCACGTCTGTCTTGATCACGAAAACGCTGTGGCGAGAGTACGTAGAATTGGCCAATCAAATGTTGATATAGGCACATCTTGCGTTTGATAGGCTGTTTCTCATGTGATGTTTGGCATTGAGTGATGGTACCTGCGACATCATAGTCCCATGCCGTGTGCCAACCAAGGGCCAAGGTGCCCCGAGCAAGATCTCGTTCACTTCACGTTCCAGTCGATCGCGCGACTTACCTAGGCACATAAGCTAGACCGCAGACAGAACCACCTACCTCGTTAAACGCATTGATAGGCTGTCTTGCAGCTCCTGGATGATATATCTTGCGCCGTCGAGCGGACCGAGGCAAGTTGCCTTTGGTCAGTTGGAAATGCGTCATGTGAGGTGTCCGCGGAGATGGGAATGCACTTGTTTTTGCCACAGTTACAACTACTCAGACCACGCCCAGTGGGCCGGGCCCGTGGGCCCCCTCCTTCCAACGACCTCTGGGACAAAACGTCATTTACTCATTTCGCATGTTTCTGAAGCGCACCATGGAGATGCTGGCGGGATGCCCTGCGCACGTCGCCGCGTGGAATGCTCAAGGCACGGCGTTCAAGGTCAAGGATGTCTCCACGTTCGAACGTCGAATTCTCCCCCAGTTCTTTCGTCACAACCATTTTGCTAGCTTCACGCGGCAGCTTCGCTTCTACGGATTCGAGAAGACCAAGGTTCCACTCCGCGAAAACACCAAGCCAGACGATGAGCTACTGTGTTGGGAGTTTACCCACCCCAAGTTCCTGCGCGACGCCCCTCACAAACTCACCTCGATTCGTCGTAAGACCTGCACAGACTCGACTCCCAAGTGGAACGCAGAGGAAGTGGCCGACCTCCGCGCCAACCTCTCGACCCTTCAAGCCAAGATGAGCATCTTGCTTGGCCACGTGTCCACACTGGCGACAGTCCTACACGAAATCTCGACAAATGGCGACGCACACCAGGCAGAGATGGCCATGGAATGGGACTCGGCGCTTTGGGATGACATGGATGAGCTTCTTCTGGGCAACGACTCGCTCGGGGCGTGTGGCTTGGATAGCATTGTCGACGCCACCGTATTCGCTCTGTAGCCGCGTCCCCTTCCACATCTCTGTCCAATGGACCGAGTTGGCCTGTTTCAAAAGCATATTTTTCCAGCTAGCCCACCTTCCTACCTATGCAAGACTAGTTACGTGGGGGTTCGAAGACTATTAAATCGCATTCAAGTATCATTCTTGACACTCTTGGCCCTTGAGGTCTGTTGCACCGCCGCTCTCCCCCTCTCAGAAGTTTACACCTCCGCAAGCCATGTTACGCTGCACCCGAAGATCCCTGCACGCTGCGAGCGCCCCATTGGACTTAATCGTTGGGTGTTTGGGCTACATCATTGGGCATACTCGGCCCTTGGAGTCAATCATGACCACTCCTCCGGCTGCCGCAGCCTATCCTGCATGAGTATAGAGCGCAACCTTCCACGCGCCATTCAGAATTGCTCCCGCAAAATTGACACTGCGATGTGATGCTACCGTGACCGTGGAATGCATCGAGTACAAGGACGGAGGACTTCTGGCGGGCTTTTCACAGTCGTCCAGTGTCGCGCTCTCGGATATTTGGATAGAAATATTTTCGACAATTTGGAACATTTGGGAATATCCAAGATATACTTCGCACCGACATTCTCGAGAGACACAATGATGGTCGCTTCATTCGTTGGGAATTGCATGCAGGATGGACTTGTTGTCGAGTAGTTCGGACGAAGAATGCTCGCCGCACGCGCCACCTTCGACGTCTTTCGTGTACAAGCCTCCATCGCTGCCGACAAACCAACGTGACAAGCCATCGATGGCATCCATCTACAGCAGCAGTAGCGATGACGACGACCTCGCTCTCACACCCAGCAAGCGCAACGAACTGAAACGACGACATACCATTTACAGCCAAAGCAGCAGCAGCAGCGACGACGACGACATCTTTTCCATCAACCGTCAACATCCGCGATACTCAGGGACCGCTGCGGCAAAGAATTCAATGCCTTTGCCCTCCACACCAGCTCCCACCGTCGGGAAAATGTCGGCGATTCAACACTTACTATCTTTGAATGCGAACGTGCTCTCGGAACCAGTCTTCCAGAATTTGATTCCTACGCCATCGCCGCCACGCGAAAGCAGCGAAGTCGAACGCGCTGTTCTTTTGCCTCCTCAAGCACTTGCGGCCGCTACGCCAGTCGCGACCCGGTCTCCATCCCCTAGCAATGAAGCAACACCAGTGTCACAACACCGCCACAACAACCACATCGCTGGGACTCCATCCATGGACGTAGCCCCGTTGTTTGCGAGCAAGCTTCAATCTCCACCAACCACTCTTCCAGCGTACATTTCTCCGTTTGGCCGTCAAAAGGTGACCGACCTGCCACCCGCGCCCCGCAGGAGCTTGGTAACACCGCCCAAGCCAGCCAAGAGCCATCCACTTAGCGACGACGACTTGTGGTCAAGCGATACTGACAAGCCTTCCGCAATGCACGACTCCTCGACGAAGTCCAAACGCAAGCGGAAGAGCCCCTTGCCAGTGCTGTTCTCGACGGCAGCAGCAAATCCCAAGGTAATATAACCCTCGATATAGTGACAGCTGCTCAAGTTCCGCTTAGCGTGCGCGACCACAAGAACGTAAATCGAGTCGGCCGCCTTCCCTGGCTTTACCGACAGACGCCCCCAATTCTGACGACTTGGACCTTGAATTGGACCAGACATGGCCACAATTGCCTCCGCCAGAGGTAGACCACCTTCCTCATAGAGACAACACCGACCGCATCGATGGTAACATTCGACGTTTGATGCTATTTTGTTTTGCGCAGGATGCGACCGAAGCCGCGCCGCCGTTGGTGCTGCAAGAGTCGGATCCCGTCATCCAAGTCCACGGCCACTTCAACCAATACTTGCTGCCGTATCAGCGCGAGGGCGTCCGGTGGTTGTTCGACGCCGTGCGCGGGAACCGTGGCGCCGTCCTCGGGGACGACATGGGCCTCGGCAAGACAGTCCAGATGCTCGCGCTGCTGTCGGCAGTGCTCTTCAAGCAGGGCAGTGCACGGACAGATAAGCGCCGACGTCATGCCCCACACAATCCAAATGCGCCAGGACCGATTTTGGTACACCATGTGATGCGACGGATGTTGAATCGTTGGACTGGATGCGTCGTGACCCCGCTTGGTTTAGGTCGTTGTGCCAGCGTCGCTCTTGGCCAACTGGGAACTCGAGTGCAAGGTCTGGATGTGTTGCAACGTTGCTGTGCTCCATGGCAAACCACACCATCGCCGCGACATTCTCGACGAGATGACTCGGTACAAAACCATGGGCTATGTCGCGGCAGGAGCTCTCCCTTTTGACGAATTCAGTGTTCTTCATGTGTTTACCAGCGTGTGTGACGGCCTGGTTTGTGATGGTGCCTACGTGGAGGATTTCAAAGCTCTTTTGACAAGCCCAAAAGTGTGGCTGGACGGATGATGTCGCACACCTCCTTGTTTCGGAATTGGCTTGAATCGATCCAGCGCTTTGTGCTGCATCTCCAAAAAGAATTTGGCGGCGTCCTGATTGCTTCACTGTTGCCATAGGAGCAGCAGCCACGCGTACGAAATCGTATTGTGCAGCTACGACATGCTGAAGTTGCATCTGGCACAGCTCACTGCCATCGAGTGGTACATCATCGTGATGGACGAGCTCCACAATTTGAAAAACCCCGAGGCGCAAATGACCAAGGCTGTGCACAAGCTCAAGTGCAAGCGCAAGCTCGGGTTGAGTGGTACGCTGATGCAAAACAATGCGGACGAACTGCACTGTGTCCTCGACACGATCCATCCGAATTGCGTGCGACTTCGGCCTCGTCTCTCGTTTATTCATTTCGACGACGTAGCTCGGGTCGCTGCACGACTTTCGGGCGTTTTACATTGACGACATCAAGTTTGCCCGCAAGAAATCCGCTGCCCCCCAGGCCATTGCCCGAAGCGAGGCCAAAGAACGCCAGCTGCGCGCGCTCCTGCAACCGTACTACCTACACCGCGACAAATCGTGCGGCTACCACGTACGGATCGAATGGATGGCTCACGGGCTTCGTCTAGGGTGAATCCCCAGTTCACCCGCATCAAGAAATTTGATCAAGTCGTGCTGTGTCCACTTACCAAACTTCAACGATCTGTCTACGTTCGTGTGACGATGCTGCCCGAGTTCCAGGCACTGATGAACCCCGACACGAAGGAGGTCGATGCGGGGGTGCTGTGGCACCATGTCCATCCCACGGGCGACAAGTGCGCGCAGTGCCCGCTCAATTGCATCCAGTTCCTCGCCATGACGCAGGTACACCCCGCACCTGGTTGCCAGGTGGTGAGCGACTCGGCGATAGCTTCTCAAGATCGCCAACCATCTCGACTTGATTCGCGTCAACCGGGCCGACCCCCCCGACCAACAAGCTGCCACGAAAGCATTTGCCAAAGTTGCCTTCGGCCCCGATGTGGTAAGTCATCGCGTCACTTTCAATCTGCCTTGAGGTGCATTCGTCTGGCCGCGCGTGCGAGAGTAGGTTGGATGATTGACACAAAGAAAGGAGGGTGTGTGTCTGTGGGCCATCACCCTTGCGCGCTGGAGGAGCGTGGTGGCGCATATTCCAGCGCATGGAATGCTTCTTGGTTTATCGCTGGCCGACGGACGGGATTCTCTCAAAAATGGATGGAGTAGGACGCAGCTGGTGGTCTTTATCGTGCGGCGGGCCTGTTTGACAAAATGAACTTGGCACTGTGCGGGAAAATGCAGGTACTTGCTGGACTCTTGGAGCGGTGGCGCGGTAAGCGGGAAAAGGTGCGTCTAGAAGAGGATTTTGAGCGCTCTCACCCGATTCCACTCGACACGTCCGATGTCGTGGTCGTTGATCGTCATGTGGTGCTTGACTTCGTTGCGTGTAGGCATTGGTGTTTAGCAGAAACGTGCGCATGCTCGACATCTTGCAAGCGGTACGATGGAATGACGTGTTGTTGGTGTGCCATCGTGGCACTCACAAGGCGGCTGCGGCAGTTTGTCATTTCACAAGGACTGGCGTACGTGCGGCTGGACGGCGGGACGAGAGTCGACGACCGGTTGAATCTCGTCCACACATTTAACCAAGACCCGTCGTTGGGGGTGTTTCTCATCAGTACGAAAGCTGGTTCGTTCGCTCACGCTTCTCAATCGTATGGTCCCAATCGAGGCATCCTGGCCATGGCCCTAGGTGGCCTCGGACTAAACATTACGAGCGCGACGAATGTGGTCGTTTTTGATCCGAGCTGGAATCCCGCCCACGACTGCCAGGCACAAGATCGGGCGTACCGCATCGGCCAGACCAAGGACGTGCATGTGTATCGGTTGGTTACGCTTGGCACGATTGAAGAAATGATTTACGCCCGGCAGGTGCTGCTCGCGCAATGGGTTGGTGGTCGTCGCAATGTGGCTCACTCGTGGCGACAGATATACAAGCAGCACATGACGGACACGACGGTGGATGGCAAGGCCATGCCGCGGTACTTTGAAGCGATACAGGGAGTCAAAAGCCAGCAGGGCGAACTGTTTGGGGTGAAAAACCTGCTCCGGTTTCAACCCCATGGCGTGATGAAGTCGATTCAAGATCGCAAGATCGGTCGCGTCGAGGCCGCAGGCCCGATCAACCACGACGATGGCCAAGACGATGCCGGACATGACGTTGTCATGGTCGACAACGCCGTGGACCTGACCCAGGGTGGTAGAGGCGACGTCGCCGAGACAGATTGGCAGGGCGTCGTCGAAGAGCTGGCCCTCAGTCAACCCATCGCACGACAACCCGACCCCAAAACCACCGCCACGGCATCCCCCGTGAAAACCCCGCGCAAGTTGTACGTCCCCCAGTACCTCCAACCCAAGCCAGACATGCCACCGATTGAATAACATGAGCCATGGAATGAAGCGGTCAGGTGGCGTCACGGCGCCGGGCACACGTCGACATTCATGAGAGGGAAAAGATGCGAGATGGTGTCGTATCGACTAACCGAGCGCTCCACAAAGCCGAAGGAGGTTGGGAGGTCTGGCGAGCTCATGGAAAACACCAAGGATACGAATCGGATGAATTAGATCATGACAGGGTTTGGGCTCAGTCTTGGGAAAGGTGAGCACTCAAACGTCACCTGACGGACGGGATATCAAGGGATGTACCCCGCCACTAGCATCTACGGTCCTCTTCGTCGTCGTCTACAATTCAAATGCCATCAACGGCGTCGACAGAACGGGGAAATCCAGGAGCGCATCCAAGATGCCCGAGTCGATCTCGTCGTCCGAGAGGAACATTGCGTCGTCACGTTCCGACCAAACTGACATGGGAGACGCAACCACCTTCATCTTTTTCGGAGACATGTCGACTTCGTCCACGTCAGGTTCGCAATAGGACTGGACAACTGACGTAAGGGCTGAGATCTGGTTTGTCAACGCGGACAGCTGGGTTTGCAAGTTCGACATCTTGCGCTTCAAGTTGGACACTTCCGACAACGCTTCAAACGACGACGTCGTCGAAGACGTCGCAGACGGCTCCGAGTACGTCTTTCGCCGAATGTGGACCATTTGTTCCGGGGCGTCTCGTTGGAAGTTCGCGTTGGAGAATTCCCACCATCCCTGGCACGAATCGCCATCGGCCGCATCCTGGACAATGCGGATGTCGTGTTTCTTGGTCTTGTCAAACCCGTAGAAGCGCAATTGTCGGGAAAAGCTCGCAAAGTTGCCGTGTTTGAAGTACTTGGGCAGCACTGTCGATTCAAACTCCTTGATTTTCTTGATCACGAATGCTCGACCGTCCTTGGACCATTCTGCTACATCGGACGGCGTCGACTGAATGAGATCGTACGTCTTCTGGAGGAATACGGCGGCGGTGCTCGACATGATCTGGAGGCAGGCACACAGGAAATTGAAATATGCTGGTCCCACATCCATGGCGCAATTTTTTATTTTAGGGTATTTCAACTCCCGACATGTCGCAACTTGCCTGCTTGAAAATCCTATCTTTTGATTGGATATATAAAAATTGGATTGTCGCCACCGGATTGGCTGATTTGAGGGAGGTGTCCCAAGCTGCATGTCCCAAGCATTTTGTATTGTTACTACAGTACATTGAAGACACAGTGTAGCCAATCCGCGTCCAGGAAATCGCATCGGGAATATTTGGGAAGAGTTGAAATACCTTTAGAAAAGAAGTGAGGTATTCAAAACCTTTGCAATACATAAATTTCGTGTTGCGCTTTTACAATATAGGGTGTTCACCATGCCTGCAAGAAAGTTCTGCCAAAAAGTCTTTCATTGTCGAGATTATGTTCCACTTACAATTTTATCCATTTATGTGGAGTTCACATGAATATATATCTACTAGTATTACGTAGTAAATATTCGTTTTAAACCACTATAATCGTTTTTTACTGTTATTTTTAATAGGAGGAGTAACTGGTATTCAGATGTCAAATTCAGGTTTAGATGTAGCAATACCTTATGCTTATTACATTGTAGCACAAAACTAGCAAGAAGAGTCACATGTAACAGTGTAGAAGTGAAGTATATTCTCAAAAATTCTATTAACCAAAATCAACAAGGAGAGTCAGACATTTTTTAGAGAAATCGAGTAGATGAAGCGTAAAATGGTCATTATGCAGATCATTTTCTGCCCAAAATCTGGGAATTGGCCCATAGGATAACCGTGCAAATTCTCGATATGAAGTACCCAACCTGCAGCCAATATGTATGAGATATGTGGTAAAAGACTGTGATTTGCCAACAGCCGACAATTATCGCAATTTTTTTGAACACGCTGCAAAAATTTCATCATATCAACCCATAATCAATGGTATTTTTTTAAATTCCATAGATAATGTATAGTCAGAAAATTATACAGCAAAGTCCAGTAGAAATCACATCCCGAAACGAATGTACAGATCTGAGTCTTTGCTTGTGTCCGTAGCGACAATTCGTGAGCATTGAATTGGTGTGGCGCTGTGGACGGTAGATGTCAATTTGTACATCTCATGCAGTGCGACGTCAAGTTGTGATCACCCCGTGCGGTGGTGGAATAGTCGCTGCGACCCGTTGCATCGTCCTGAAGTACGCGCAGCTAGGTGGAATTACCCTAACACAGAACTTTGAGCCCTAAATAATACGATTGCATCAGCACCGCAATAGAGTCATCATGTCTCAGATGACGTCAAAATAGTCGTATCCATAATGGCCACTTTAGTTGAATGGAACTAATTTGAAATGAATTCCGCATTGTTGGCGAGAGCATGTCGCTTCGCGAGGGCCAACTTGGCCAGGCGGCGACTTTGATGCTTTTGATATCGTGGTGCTTCAAAGTTTGGTTGCTGGGAAGAGGCCCTGTGTGTCTACCAACGTTAGCTCGACGTGATTCCAAAGAATAGATACGAGCAAGTCCATTCCGTGCACTTGTGGGTCACTAATAGCCAGCATTGTTGCGGTCGAGGACACGAGTGTACATGACCAGTAAGTATGATGCCCACGCTCGCAAAAGAAGCGCTGATTCAGCCGCTGCACAGGTAAATTTCTGTTGTCTGCTCGTTGCACAGGCAACATATTGAACAGAACAGCTCCGTTGGTACATCCAATAGTCCGTGTGCGTCCGCGAAAGAGTAAGCCAGGAAGGAATCCATTCGATATCCTCTTTGCCGTGAAGCGCTCGCTACTGCCAAGAAGGTCGTTCCAGTTGTTCTGCTGCCGTCGGGGGATTGTGCCGTTCGAATGACGACGAACACCATGATAACATGATACAGAAGGATGCTTCTAGACTCCTCATATATACAGTAATCAAGTATAATCGTAGGTTGGAATTCTTATATACTAAATTACAGTGGAATGCTACTGACATGGTGTCCAGGTTTGTCGCCAACTCTAGGGAATGTAGGGGAAGACCATTGTGGTCAGCGCGAAATCGCATCCCGTCGATGCCGCCGGCCACCGCCGTCACTTTCGCATTTGCCAGTTCTTGATGCGGTCGAAAATATTGTACGCTCTGTGCATCGCAGTGCTCTTTGCGGTGTTTGCGACGGCGGAGCCGAATCTACGATATGCAAATGGGGCCGTCGAGGCTGGCGATCCACAATACTATGCTGTACCGAACCGCGCGCCGCCTGCCCATGGTCACCAAGGCCCCCTCGTCGCAAAGCGACAGAACTTCATCAAAGATATTGGACGAAAGGTCAAGAATACCGTCCGATCCGTGGGCAATCACATCCGCCGTGGCGTCCAAAAGGCAGGCCAAGTCGCTCGACAAGCAGGGCAGTATGTGCGGCGGGCAGGGGACGTTGTCCAGCGAGCAGGGGGCATCGTTCAACAGGCTAGCCAATATGCTCAACGCGCTGGACGATTCGTTCAAAATGCCCACCAGCACATCAACCGCGGAGTTCAAAAGGCGCAGAAGTGGGTCGGCCACGCTAAGAATGTGGCCAATACTGTGCAAGGGTTTCTTGGGCGCCGGCTGCGGCTTGAACGTCATGGCGACGAACAGTAGACAGTAGGGCATTCCGACTAAACTATCTCAATCGTACGACGTAGTTCATGTTGGCCTTGGGTCGAAACTGTTGCCGTGGCGCAGTCGACGAAGGATGGTTCTGGTCTTCGCTGCAGGCGATTTCAATCGAAGGTTGAATGTATACGTATGGGCGCACTTCCGTGCCACTTTTCCAGTCGCCAAGA